ATGATCATCAACAACAGCAGCAACAACAGCTTGATGATGACGTCATCATCAACAACAATGACGATGACGACAACAATCAGGATTTCTTGAATTATCAGGGATTCAAGTGCATCCAACTGACGGAGGATGGCACACTCATATTAGGCGAGATACCGACCCAGCAGCTGCAACAGCAGCAACAGCAGCAACAGTCGCTGCTTCTGCTACATCCACATCATTCAACGACCACAACCACACAATCTCACAACAACGACATTAATAATAATAATAATAATAATGGTGCTAGTGATGATGGTGATGTGATTCTACCCAGCAACAACAACATTATGACGTCAGGTGACGTAATATCCGTTGGTGATGATGGCGAGAATGTGCGTGACGTCAACAATACATCCAGCGTCATCATGAGCAACAACAGCAACGACATCATCCACAGCAATCCAGCTGACTTATCTACCTTAAACAACAACAACAATGACGACGATGACGTCACGACAGCAGCCGCAACAAGCAACAACCTACTGCAACTTTTTGTTGGCAACGTTGACAAACAACGTCAGCAACAACAGCAACAACAACAAATTAACTACATTGTTTCAGACAAGTTTGTATCAATATTTGGGTGTGTGTGTGTTTGTATGTAGGAGTGTATGTTCTTACACATGTTTGTATGTTTTACTGTTTAACTTTTAAATGTTTTACACCTGGCTGCAAAACTTGTACACGCTCATAAACACAGCCTGGACCAAAATCTGTTGCACATGGAGGGCAGAGGTCAATTAGATCTGAGTCATGTTGAAGGTCAACCAGATCTGGTGGGTCAAGTTGAAGGTCAAACAAATCTAGGTCAAGGTGAAAATGTCCTGTACAAGTGCATGCTATGTGAAGATGTGTGCGAGGATTTCGATAGCATTCAGAAACATCTCAACATGCATACTGGTTGGTTGGTTGGTTGGTTGGTTGGTTGGTTGGTTGGTTGGTTGGTTGGTTGGTTGCCTGGTTGGTTGGTTGGCTGGCTGGCTGGTTGGTTGGTTGGTTGGTTGGTTGGCTGGTTGGTTGGTTGGCTGGTTGGCTGGTTGGCTGGTTGGCTGGCTGGCTGGCTGGCTGGCTGGTTGGTTGGTTGGTTGGTTGGTTGGTTGGTTGGTTGGTTGGTTGGTTGGTTGGCTGGCTGGATGGTTGGTTGGTTGGTTGGCTGGCTGACTTTTTGGTTGGTTGATGTTGATTGTCAAAAGCAGTCCGTTTATCTCATTATTACCATCAGCACAAATTATTCGTACAAATAAATTAGTTCCCCTGCGATGACTTCATCAGGTCCGATGGGTCAGTTGGAGGGTGATGTCTCTGAGGGTGCAGGCGGGCAGCAGTTGTTGAGCGCTGCAGACGAACACACTGATCAGCAGAACATGTACCAGTGCAACAGTTGCTTGTTGCTGTTTGACTCCATAGACGTGTTGCTGAAACACTTTGCAACACAACACAGTGATGTTGTTAATATCAACAGCAGCAACAACAACAACAATGAATTAAGCAACATCAATGGCAACAACGCGTTCGAGTGTTTGTCGTTCGTCAAAGATGAAAGTATGTTTCTTCCCGACGTCAACAACATCAACAACAACAACAACAACAACAACGACGACATCAACGCTCTCATCATAGACAATATCGACAACAACAACAATGTTGATGACATCATCGCCGGCAACAATAGAGCGACAACATCATTCCTCCCTCATTACGCCTGCAATATATGCCTCCTAACCTTCAGAAACATGACTAGGCTGAAGAAACATTTGCAACAACAACACAGCAACAACAACAAAAACAGCAACAACAGCAACAACGGGGGAAAATTTTCTAAAAAGCTCAACAAAAACTCTTTGCTTAGAAACAAATTTAACGACAATGACGTCAAGAATGGTGGTGATGATGATGATGATGATGCTGGTGTCTTTGGCAACGGTGCTCATGATAATGATCTTTTCCTTGGTGTCGCCGGTGATGATGATGATGATGGTCAAAAGTTGAAGAGTTCCAGTGAGTTTAATGGTGGTGGATGTTACCACCATGATTTGTTTCTTTTTTTTCTAATCTAATTATTGTTATGATGATGATGATGATGATGATGATTACTATCGCCTTTACCATCACCATCATCATCGTTTTCATCATCTTCTTCACCTTCATCATTATCACCTTCATCATCATCACCTTCATCATTATCACCTTCATCATTATCACCTTCATCATCATCACCTTCATCATTATCACCTTCATCATCATCACCTTCATCATTATCACCTTCATCATCATCACCTTCATCATTATCACCTTCATCATCATCACCTTCATCATTATCACCTTCATCATCATCACCTTCATCATCATCACCTTCATCATCATCACCTTCATCATTATCACCTTCATCATCATCATCGTCGTCGTCATCATTTCTAGATGATCAGCTTTCCATAAGCAGAAGAGTCCTGATGGAAGTTAGGAAGGAAACCGATAAGGTTGGAGATAACATTGATAAGAAAACTGATGATGATGATGATGATGGCGCTGATGATGATGTGATGATGATGATGATGATGATGATGGCGCTGATGATGATGTGATGATGATGATGACGACGACGTTAATGATGATATTACTGATAATGATTTATTACTAAGAATAAAATGACATTGAAAATAATTTTAAAGGTTTTTTTTTTGCTAATCACACCCACTCACTCACTCAGCTGATGAGGCGCTTAAACGCGGATTGTGATGATTACAATGGCAATGATGACAACAACAACAATGACGATGCTGATTTTAATTACAACAACAACAATAACAACAACAATGACGTCATCAACAATTTCAACGTTAACAACATTAGTTGCAGTAACAACGACCTTAATAACATTAATCCACCATACGCCAACAACAACAACAGCAACAAATCGAGAAATCTAAAAAGGCGACACAACAACAACAACAACAACAGCAACAACAACAACAGATCACATCAACAACAACAACAACCACATCAGCAGCAACAATTGTTGAACTGTTGTTCTACGTGCAATAAGAGTTTCAAAAAACCTAGTGATCTTGTCAGGCATGTTAGGACACATACAGGTGAGTGAGTGAATCGTGAGTGAATCTGTGAGTGAATCAGCGAGTGAATCTGTGAGTGAATCAGCGAGTGAATCAGTGAGAAAATTAATGAGTGAATTATTAATTAGAGGAATGAATAGACGGATGGATAAGTGGAGGATGAGTGAATGAGTAGATGAGTGAATGAATGAGTGAATGAATGAGCAAAAGAATGAATAAATAAGTTACTAAATGAAGAATTAAAAAATTAATTTAATGTAACATCAGGAGAGAAACCTTACAGTTGCACATTCTGCAAGCGGACATTTACTGTGAAGTCGACCCTGGATTACCATGTGAATACCCATTATAAAAGTTTGTACTTCTTCATACTAATCGTGTGTGTGTGTGTGTCTGTCTGTGTGTGTATGTGTGTGTGTGTATGTGTGTGTGAGTGTGTGTGAGTACTACCTTCGAAATTCTTCACAGGACCGAAGAAGTTCATATGCCATGTCTGCGGGTCAACATTCTCTGCTAAGGGGAGTCTCAAAGTGCACATGAGACTACATACAGGTTGGTTGGTTGGTTGGTTGGTTGGTCGGTCGGTCGGTCGGTCGGTCGGTCGGTCGGTCGGTCGGTTGGTTGGTTGGTTAGTTAGTTTGTTGGCTGGCTGGTTGGTTGAATTATTCAATTTGTATTGAATTAGTAACGTAGATATTCTGATCGAATGCTGATTGAATGACTTGAATTGAATGACATGCTCAGGTTCCCGCCCCTTCAAATGCCTCTACTGTGATCAGAGGTTTAGAACATCAGGTTCGTTTGTTATGGTTGGTGCTGGTTGATTGGTTGTCTGACTGGCTGGCTGGCGTGTTGAGTTGAGTTGAGTTGAGTTGGTTTGAGTGAAAGAGTGAATGAATGGATGAGTGAATGAATTAGATCATGGTTTCAAATGCTCACTTGATTTGAAATCTTCTGTGAGACCGTCCTGCTACAATGGCCACAACCAAACAGGGCACATGAAATGTCACATGTCTTACCATCTGCAAACACAAACATCTTCCTCCTCTTCATCGTCAACAACTGCAACAACAACAACAACAACAACTGGATTCCTTGTCGACGAATCGAACAACATCCTCCTAGCAACGACAACAACAGCTAAAAACAACAACAAAAATGTCAACAAAAAAACCATCAACAACAGCGCAACCGCTATGTCAGCGTCATTAGACGATGTCTCGACCAATCCTAATGACAACAACATTCAACTGTTGCCGTTAGACAGCCAACAAATCTCAACGATTAGCCAAACTGTTGCAAACAAAAAACAACAACAAAAGCAACAGAAACAACGATCTCAACTACAGCAACAACATTTTACAATCCAGCAGCAACAACATCAGCAACTACAATCCTTAGATCACCAGCAACAGTTGTCAATGCAACAACAACAACCGTTGTTGATCTTCAACGACAGCATATTTGTTGATAGAAATGTTGACAATTTTTCATTTGTTGAGAAACAACTCGGTCAACATAATAATGTTGGTTTTTGTTGAGTTTTTTTTTGTCACGTTCCAAATTAAACACATCATCCAATCTTTTTCTATTTTATTTATCAGTATTTGTGCATACCGTGTCACATATGACTGGAATCACACACAAACACACGCACACACACACACACGCACACAAGCACACACGTGAGCCATACTTGAAGATCTCTTTACAACACAAGAGGCAGATAAGTACTTTAATGCGGGCTTGCTTAGTAAATTTTTGTTTGGAAAATGTCGCCATTTAGATTCGTTATTTTATTTTATTTTATTAAAAAAAAATCTACTATGTCGTTTGTTTTATTTTCAATTTTCACTAAGTTTTCTTTCCACCAATATTTCATCACTAGCAGAATGTTCACGTTTTAAATGGTGCCGACAACAACTTCGACAACTTGAACAACATTCTCGACAACAATAACATCATCAGTGACAGCAACAACAACATGATTAATGACGTCATCACGGACGACAACAACAACAACAACGATGTTTCTGTTTCCATCACGGACAACGATGGTAATGTCAGCGTCGTCAGCGGCGATGAAGCCATCAGGTTGTTGAAAAATATCGGCATGGATGTTTCTCAGATCTTGAACCAACAACAACAACAAGGACAACGGCATCAACAAGAAGATCAACAACAATTCCTGTCTCAGCAACAGTCTCAACGATTAATGGTTGAACAGCCCCAACAACAACCTCAACAGTTCGTTAACTTGCAACAAAGCATCAACCAGCAACAAATCATTCAACAACAACTTGACACCAACAACAACCAAAAGCAACTGATTATTGTCAACAACGGCAACAACATCAACTCTCAGAACCACATCGTCCTTCCCAACATACTGCAACAGGTACATCAGCCGCAACTGCAACAACAGCAACAAGAAATTCAGTTGCTGCAACTGCCTCAGGATCAGATCTTCAACCTACAACAACTACCGCAACAACAAAACCTCGTCATCCAACTGCAGTCAGACCTCGGAGACTACCTGATGTCAGTTGGCGATCTTATCAACATGAAAGCCAGTAGTGAGACAGCGGATGTGGTCGATGGTGGTGGCGACATCAGCCACCAACGACTCTGCGGTGACGCTGTCGTTGCTGATGACGTTGGGCCAATTGCAAGAAACTCTCTACTGGACACGGTCAGAAAGAAGCTGGCGACTAAATCGATTCTCGTCAACGCTGATGACGTCATCGTTAATAGAAATAATAATAATAATAATAATAATAATAATAATAATAATAATAAGGTAAAAAATAATAGCGAAAATGATGCCGCTGGCGTTAAAAAGTTTGTTGAAAAAATTGTTGAAAAGAAGAGGACAACGAAGAGAGCGAAATCGATCTTGAGGCAACAGTTGCACAACAACATCTCAACAAAAAATGTTGTCACCCAACAAAGTGTCAACAACATCAGTGCAACATCAACAATCGCTGCAACAACACCGGCAACGACAAACCAAACGTACTCTAGTAATTTATTTGATAGCAACACTGCCACCCTGTCAACCAATCAAAACTCGACAGCTAAAAGCGGTAAATCGAAGATTAGGCAAAAGTTGTTGTTGCAGACAAGTTATCCAACAACAAAACCAACAAGCTTTAACGGTGACGACGAAAAGACGAACTCGATTGTTGCAGCAACAACAGCGTCAACAAAAAATATTACTCCAAATGTCGTTCTTCTACCTAGCAACAAAGTTGTGTTGTTGCAACAGCCGCCGTCTCAGCAACAACATCTACAGTCTCAACATTCATCCGGACAAACGATTCAAGTGGTTAGTGTTTCATTCATTTTCTTGAGTTATGGATGAAATGTAAGTTGTTGTGTTGGTTCAGTAGCGGCTCTGCTTGCCTGGTGTTGCTTGGCAGGTTGGAGGAACACTCCATCCATCATCCATTCAGCAAGTTTATATTACCAGTAGATAATTTCTTTAGAATTCAATCTTATTTTCACTTTTTCACCAGAATGTCGGTTTTTGAGAGCCTGGATTCCGGAAAATGTTATTTATTTTTAAAAAATTTATATTTTTTTCCTGAAAAATTTTTGAAGATTGTATTTTTTAGAGGATGAATGTTTGTAGCAACAAGCAGTCATCAAAAGTACTGAAAACGAATGCTCAATAATGTGAATGAAATCACCATGCTGTAAAATATGAAAATAGATTAATCCTACTATGAGAAACGATTAGATTGACTGATTTCAAGTGTTTGTTCAAAGTATTTTTCATTTGATAGTGATAATAAGGTGAAATTAGGAAGCAAAAGTTGAAAAAATTTCATGAACTCTGGGGTCGGAGTTGGATGTTTTTCATGGTTTTGGATGTGTTTTCATGGTTTTTACCTTGTGTCCTTTCTATATATTTAAAATGCTCTCTTCATTTCTCACGAAACTTCAATGAGATTGTGCAGTTCTGTACGTTAATTGTAGGGCTTGTACATTATTTTATGTTAATTGCACAGCCTGCTGTCTCCGCCCTCAAGCTCGCCCACAGGACACGAAGCCACATCCACGTGTGTTACTACTGCAAGAAGATCTTTCAGAAGCCCAGTCAGCTGGACAGGCATCTTAGAGTGCATACAGGTTGGTTGGTTGGTTGGTTGGTTGGTTGGTTGGTTGGTTGGTTGGTTGGTTGGCTGGCTGGCTGGCTGGTTGGTTGGTTGGCTGGCTGGCTGGTTGGTTGGTTGGTTGGTTGGTTGGCTGGTTGGTTGGTTGGCTGGTTGGTTGGTTGGCTGGCTGGCTGGCTGGCTGGCTGGCTGGCTGGTTGTTGGTTGGTTGGTTGGTTGACCGACACTCCATCAACATTATTTCCTCCTCACCCAATTACATCATCATTTCTATACACCCCAAATGCAGGTGAGAGGCCATTCAAGTGCAAGGAATGCGACAAGAGGTTCAACCAGAAGAGCACTCTAAACATCCACAGTCTCAGACATCAGGGGTCCAAGCCCCACCTCTGCCCGGTCTGCCACCAGCGCTTCACTCAGAAGGGCAACCTGAAGAGCCACATGAGACGGGTGCACTCCAGGAACTTGGAGGATAGCCAACTGTGGATCACTAATAATAATAATAATAATAACATTTTTAATATTAATAATAGTAATAATAATATTAGTGGCAGTCACGTGATGACGACGTCATCAGTGGCAGCTGGAATGATGGAAGATGTTTCATTTGCTGATGGGAAAGTTGGCGTTGGGGCTGGAGGAGGTGATGGCGAACCAGGTGATGAAGTGGCTGATGACGACGACAACGATGATGATGGTGGGGGTTGTGGCGGTGCTGAAGATGATGGTGATGAAACCTGGTACACCATTAGGGAGGTGATCAAGAATGATCACGGTGACGTCACCGGAACCGGAAACATCCATGATGATGATGATAATGATGGTGGTGGTAGTGGTAATAACAATGATGATAATGATCGTGGCGGTTGTGATGATAATGATGCCGAGAGACGAGATGACGTCATCATAAACGGCGAAAACTGGACCGACTTCATCAACAACGCTGACGGTCATCATGGCGATATCGTCGACTGGTGAGATGTTGAAGTTGCGGAGAGGCTGTCGCAAGATGTTGATAAATTGTGAGAGGAAATAGATATTACGATGACGTATGTCAGAGGTCCTACTAAAAAGAGAAAGAAAAATCAATATTTTTTTTTCGGAGTTCTTTCTTAAATTTTTGTAGCGCTTATTTTAAACTCTTAACAGACAGTTTTCCATACTTCGACAATTTTCACGTAACTATTCATAAGTTTACTGCTATTGATTTGCGATGTTTCATTGAAATATTATATTCACACTGATATCATTTGATATATTATTGTAGTTTGAATGACAATTACTAGCTGTGTGTGCGTGCGTGTGCGTGTGTGTGCGTGCAGATGAAAATTATGAGACTTTATGTTAAAACGTGATGACTATTGAAAATTTGTAATTAAACTACATACAATAGCATGGCTGGTTTTATTTTCAAACAAAAAAAGATTTTCATTTAAATTTGTTGCGTGTTGTTTTATTTAAGGAAAAAAATGTTTGTTCAATTGAGGAAGCTTTGGAAAGTTTTGACGAATTTCGGTAAGTTTTTTGATATTTTTTGATATTTCAGGTTTTATGACCAGTTGCTAAAAATCTGAATTGATTCAAGAATAAAATGAAATAGAACTAAAGAATAAACATTTAGTGGTAGGTGCAGAAAACAGTTAGACCACCGATTTAAAGGTTGGGTAGTAAGGGATCAAAGAAAAATTCGAAACAAATATTACGAACAGAAGCCAAAAAATGACAAAAGATAAAAGATGGAGGCTTTTTGTGACTAGCTTTGCCGTCCTGGGCTGGCAGACAGCAGATGATGATGATGAGTACGGGATGAAATTTTTTTCTAATAATTAATAACTTTCACAAAAGTCGTGATCATTTTTTTGCTTTCTACGATGTTTTTTTTAAATTTCTGGACCTATATTTTAGAAAAATAATTAAAGTGTTTTTTTATTTACTCTAAAAATTTCAATATTACGCATAGCTAATCAAACTATCTAATACAGGGGTGGAAAAACTTTTTGTTGTTAGAGCCACATTGAGAACTATTTGACTTTTGGAATAACACGCACACACACAGTTTGCCCACCTCTGATCTATTAAATTCATGGTCACGTCATCAGACCGAATGTTTTCGCAAAGAATTGTAACATCGTTTTTAGAACTGCTTCTGGACTTACTTTAATGGAAATGGTGATAATTTACATCAAACACTTTGCATGGTTGTCAAACAACAATCATTCTAAATTACGAAAAGTGTCAAGTAGAGAGAATGGTAATTAATTAACTTTGCTAGTTGCGCCAATGAAACTTCAAATGATGAGGTGTTATCTAATGGACAATTTATTGAACTTTTGACTTTTTGAAGAAGCGATCAATAATGAACTTCATAAATTGGTCTGAAGATTTAACAAACATTTTAACAATACTTGTTGCAAAATAATTAAACCAGCTTAATACATCAAAAGCAAAAATTTAACCACAATAAAGAAATAAAAACTTTTGGTAAATTAATTTAAAAAATCCATCCTTCAAAGTTGCTTCAAATATACACACACATGTTTACTTAGAATGGGACACTTATCCAATAAAAAAATTCAACTCGCGCCTTGTCAATTAAAATTGACACGTTACTTTTACAATTTTCTAACAATTAAAAACCACTTAGTTCTTTTAAAATTAACTTTTACTAATGCATCTAATAAAATGTTTAATGAAGTTAACTTTGTTTCGACCTCAACAATCGATTGATTAACTAAACACGTCTCTCCCAACTAATAAAGTGAATATTATACATAGTGACATCAAATGTCATAGTTTGAATACCTGAAGAAGATTACGTAATTGGTTCGAGACAAAGACTAGTTTTACTATATAAGAACGACATTTCAGAATAAATCACCATTTCTTGAAAAACTTCTTCAGCGTTCACAGGTGCAGCTCAGCAAACTGAACATTATCATTAAAATCTACAATTTCTCTCTATAAAAATACGTATAAGTTATTTTAGAACATAAAATCATTTCTAGAAACAATCTCTAGTAATTTTTACTCGCAAATACTATCACTAGAATCTGAAACCAAACGACATTTATATTCTAGTAGTATTATTATTTGAAAGTAGTTTCATAGCACATTAATTATTATTAATAAAATATAATTTAACTATAGGAATAATGTTGAATCAAAAAAATTTCAACGTTAATAATAAAACGAATTCAACTAGAAACGCTGGAACTTCAAAAAATAGACTTCATATAGACAACAACAATATCGCCTTTAATCGGTTTGTACCGCCTCCATATCTTCCACCTTCATTCGTTCCACCTTCATTCGTACCACCTTCATTCGCTCCACCATCCTTTGTTCAACCTTCCTTCCTTCCCCCACCCTTCCTTCCACCTCCTTTCCTTCCACCCCCCTTTATTCCGCACCCATCAAAATTTGATTTCAAAAAGACGGACAAAAATTACCACATCCAACCAGCACTTCACAACCAGTACAACCACAACGTAGAAGAATACGATCCGGCAAATCCATGGATTGAAAAAAGCTCTCATCCCAAAGAGGAAGTGGATCATACTGCTGGGCAGCCAGAGTACGTACCTACAAGTAAAAAAAGAAAGCGTGGTGAAGATAACTCCGATAACCTGGCTTGCAAAAAGACGAATGTTGAAAAAAGTACACCCGCATTGACTTCAATTAACATTGATGATCTTTTCAAAAACCTAGTTCGAACCGGTTTAATTAAACCGACCTCAGTAAAGAGCGAACACGAGGATACGTTGAAAGATAAATGGACCGGCCACAAAAATCGCAGTTTCCCGATTGAATCAGCAACAACAACAGCAAGCAAAGAATCGAAACAATTTCAATTGAGAGTTACATGCATCAGAATAGACCCACGAATTACAAATAATTTGCGAAAAGGATTGCTCTGCGAGATCTGTGGAGTGAAGTTTAGGAACGACGCTCCATTCCAATTTTTAAAAGACAGAGCGGTCCAAGTATCAGCAGAAGCGAGACTGCAAAACCACAAGCTAGAGCATTCGCAAAAAAACCCAGCTAAAGATAGAATATATTACCTAAAATTAGAAGAATGGGTGAAGCAGGACTCAAGAAACATATCAATTGATTATGGAGAGCCGATTGTTGTTGTTGCAACTGAGAAAAGGGCAGATACAACTCTTAAAACGAAAAAGAGAAAAAGGGATGAAGATGTCAACAATCTACACAAAAAAGAAGATGACGACAACCACCGCAAAAAAATTGAGAAAGAGTATGACCAGATTATCAGCAAGTATAAGAAGAAACGAGTCGCAGCATCTTAGTTTATTAATTTCGGAAACTGGATATAATTAAAAAAATCTTATATTCTCCTATAATTTTTTTAGAAACATTTTTAATATCTTTTATGTAAATAGTTTACATTCGTATTTTAGTAATTTTTTTTTATTAATGTGAATATTTACATTCGTATTTTATTTTATTTTTTAATGTTAATACTTACATTTGTATTTTTTAGTTTTTTATTTAATGTAAATATTTTCATTTCTATAATTTCCAATTGTAGTTTTTTTAGAAACAATTTTATTATCCTTGATGTAAGTAATTGTATTAGCATTTTTTAATGTTTATATTCGCGGTTGTAGTTTTTTAGATTTTTTTATTTAATGTAAATAATTACATACGTATGTTTTAACATTTTTCATTATTTGTCTGATGTAAATATTTGTATTTCTTATTTTTACAGTTATTCTGAGTATCAATAAAGTTCTTAAAACGTGTAAACATGAGTTTTCGTTTTTTTGATTTTTTACAGAGCTACAGAGGCCCTCTCAAAATAAATAAACAAATAAATTAATAAATAAATAAATTCATTTATTAATTACTTAAAATGTCATTTTTTGACATCCAAATGTTGACGAGTCTTAGTTTATTTAGTAGCAATCACACCATTCTCATAAGATTAGTTGGGCATTAATTAGTTTTCATTACTATTAGTGAAACATAGTTTTTGGAAATAATAAAATATTTGCAATAGTTTTCAATCTTAATTGTGATTTCAAAAAATTTTCTTCCCAAACTGATTAATCTACCAACAATGTCAGCATTTCGTAATAAAATAACGTAGAATAAAAATTGATAATTCAACAATTAATGGGACGAAATGAATTATATGAACTTATTAGCATCGCACGGGACATTGTATCAGACACACGTAGATCGACACCTCATCATCAACAGCAGCCTCATCTTTCTCCGTATGAGCTCGTACAATTCCGAAAGAATTTATTTCTTAATTGGTGAAATCAATAAATTCAAAAAGTTAAAATTCTATTTTCCATGTATCGGGCCATCTTACTTCGTTATTTATTTTCCGTTAACATTTATAATTCTGTTCTGAGTTATTATATAATTTATTTTTCGTTAGCATTGAAATGTATGGAAGAAAAACTGAACCAAAAAAGTTGAGCGATTAGATATTAGACCAGAAGCACAACAAACAGACCGACACGTTGGACTTGAGGTGCAGATTCGTACATTTACTTACCGGAAGGTTTTGTTTTCGAAAAATTAAAACTGAAAAAACCTAACACAGACACATACACACGCACACAAACAGACGCGCGCACATACACAAACAAACAGACGCGAACAAACAACTGAAACTTCACCAAACACCGAGCAATGCAAAGAAACTAAAACTAATTTAATTTATTTTTGAATAAAATCACCCAAAAAAGAGTTGAAATATTAACACACATTATTAATATTAAATAATAACAAAACAACAACATTATGTCTTCAAGTACATTTTTTTACAAGCACGTTTCACAGGTCTCAACAACGTCTCACAGTTCTCAGCAACGTCTCACGGGTCTTAGCAACAATCGCACAGACGGTTGCAGCAACGACAGCAGTGTTATTATTATGATTTAATTATTTATTTATATATTTATTCAACCATATTATTTTTCTTGATTGATTATTGTTATTAATTCTAAATCATCTGGTGAGCTGCCATTTTTTTGTTATTGCAATTATTAATTATTATTATTATTATTATTATTATATCATCATTAAATTCCCCTCTTGCTGGAAAAAGGGATTTACAATACTTATTCATAAAAAAGGTGACGCAAATGATCCAGCTAATTTTCGTCCAATCACCTTGCAACCTACTCTATACAAAATACTTTCAACATCTATCAACAATCGAATCTATAAATTTCTCGAATCTAATTCATTAATAAACAAAAACATACAAAAAGGTTTTTATCCAAAAGTTGATGGCTTGACCGAGCATACCCAACTCCTAACTCACATGCTCAATGATGCAAAGAGACATCAACGAACTGTCATTGTCACTCTTTTGGATCTTCGAAACGCATTTGGCGAAGTCAGCCACAACATAATCTCATCAACCCTAGATTACCATCACATCCCTTCCCAAATAAGCAACTTAATCAAAGCAATATATGCCGACTACACAATATCTGTTTCTGGATGCGACAACCTTACTCCTCCTATCCCGGTTAGACGTGGTGTTCTGCAAGGTGATCCCGTCTCCCCATTAATCTTCAACATGTGTTTTAACCCATTGATGAAGTTGATCGAAAAGACAGAATATCAACAATGCGGTTATATTTGGGGACCGACGGCCAACTTAAAAACCAATGCTTGGCTTCAATTTGCGGATGACACAGCGATCATCGCCAACAGCACAGATGGTGCTCAAAAATTAATCGACTTGAACCAAGCTTGGTGTAAAGCTACCGGCATGAATATGAGGATTGATAAGTGTTGCTCGTTTGGTATGAGGAAGAAGAACGGGGGCTATGAACAATTTTCGCCGAGGCTGACCATTGATAACAAACAAATCCCTCATATCGATATGAACGGTCATTTTGAATACCTCGGCAAAATTTATGATTTTAAAGGAAACAACTCGAAGGCAAAAGAATTACTGATTAAAAAGCTGAAAAACATGCTGTCAGTCGTCAACGAGTTGGACACAACGCCCCAATGGAAACTCCAAATACTACGAAGATATATTCCGTCTCAGTTGGCCTTTGAGCTTCGAACGTATGACATGCCGTTGACGTGGATTGGAAACAACCTGGATCCTATGGTTGCGGAATCAGTAAGAAATTGGCTTTCCCTCCCGATTAGCAGTTGTATATCTGAATGTCTATCCCTCCCCTTCAAATTGGGGGGCCTGGAAATCAGATCGCTAAAACATTTTGCCGAATCACTCAGAGTTAAACTCAGAAATTATCTGAGATCTCACGACAACAAAGATGTAAACTGTCTGTGGAGTGATTCGTACAACAACTACATTAAGATCGACAACATGCTTCCTGATTCAGAGAGTGTGAAATCGACGCTCAATGCGTTAAAGATTCGTCAACATGAAGCCGATTTCGATCATGTGTCGCAACTTTCCTGCCAGGGAAGAATAATTAAAGCAGTTAGAGAACACATTCCACCAATCCACGTTACCCGATGGTCGAGGCTCACTGCCGATCTTCCGGAGGTCTTATTCAGATTCGTTAGGAAAGCATTGATACAACAACTTCCGACAAATGCCAATCTTTCCAGATGGGGCAAGTCTTCCAACGCCTTATGCCCGCTTTGTAACGCGCTTCAGACAAACAAGCACGTTCTGTCAAATTGTGATTCAGTAGCGGCTTTAAAAAGATTTACAACACGCCACAACAAAATATTATCTTTAATTCTAGAGAAGATCAAATCATTTGCTAAACCAGAAGTTGCAATTTTTGCTGATACGATGAACGACGAATTTCTCCCAACAACGTCCCTCTTCAAATCGTTTCGGCCCGACATAGCACTTCTCCGGGGGGACACAATTGAAATACTGGAACTGACAATATGTCATGAATCCAACTTCTCTAGTTCAAGGGATTACAAAAGATCTAAATATAAAAACCTACACAGTAATTTGATCGACGAGAAGAAAGATTCGAAAATAATTATTAATACATTTGAAATTTCACCTTTAGGCTTTTTTAAATATTTTTATTTATCGTTTGTTGATTTTATTTGGACTGACCAATTTTGCAATGATTTAATTAACTCGGCAATAACATCATCGTACGCTATTTATTGCGATAGAAACTCGATCGCAACATAATTATTTTTAAACTGATTTTGAATTTCTCGTTGTACTCATTGCATGTTGATTCAATGGCGAGCATCGTAGATTATTTCACAAACCTTTATATCATTCTAATTATTTTATTTTATTTTATTACATGTACATTTTGGCCAAAATAAAAGAGTTTCCATTATTTCATCAGTCTTGAAGACTTTTGATTTTACATGGTTTTGAAATTTGTAGAAGAAGAACAAAAGTCTACATTATTATTATTATTTACGTTGTTGTTGCTGCTGTTGTTGTTGTTGCTACTACTCTGGTCGTTACTTACAATCTGGTTGTCGCAGACGATCGAGTAGCCGGCGTCTTCGATTTACAGTTGAGGCGGTCGTCGTCGTTATTGTCGCTCGTGTGGTGGTGGTGGTGGTGGATAATGTCGAATTTCATTTTGCTGTCGTTGGTGTTGTTACTGGCGCTAGTGTTGTTGTTAATGTTGTAGTTACTGGCGCTAGTGTTGTTGTTGTTAATGTTGTAGTTAATGTTGTTGCTGCTGTTGTTGTTATTGTTGTCATTGTTGTTGTTTCTATTGACGCCACCGAACCATGCCTTGCTACTACTACTGCTGCTGCTGTCGTCGTAACTTTTGGCCTCATCATTACTAAATGAGTAGCGGCTGTCATTAGAGCCACCAGCACCACCACTACCACTAAACTTACTCTCACTGCTACTACTACTAGTTATACGAACACTGCAGCTCTTAGCCAAACCACCCTTGCCAGAGCCACCATTACCACAACCTTCATTACCACGACCACTAACATCATCGACGTTACCACCACCACCACAACCACCACCACCACTACTACCTTTGCTACCACTACCGTCACCACTGATCAGCCACTCAACCTGACTATCACCACCCACGCGTGCTTCGAACCACGCGTGTCGTCTGCTCCCACCAGCACCGCTATCGCCACCACCACCACCACCATCATCATTGGAATATTTATTATTATTATTATTATTGGTATTATTATTTTTATTATTATTATTATTATTATTATTGCTATCGACGTTAGCACTATTATCTTTCTTATTATCGCCCTTCTTACTGCCGTAATTAAAATCATTATATTTATTATTATTATCATTATTATTATTATACACCTTAGTATTATTATTATACATTTCATTATTATTACTATTTAATTTATTATTATTATTATTATTGTTGTTATTATTATTACTTCCCGAAAACTCATCATCACCGCTTTTCATCTGGACGAAGTTACCCACACTCCTCTCCATCTTCATCGACGAATTGTCATTTTTACTTTTCAAATTATTATCATTATTATTATTATTATTATCATTATTATTATTATTGTTGTTGTTATTAGAGTTATTATTGTTGTTGTTATTAGAGTTATTATTGTTGTTGTTATTAGAGTTATTATTGTTGTTGTTATTAGAGTTATTATTTTTATTTTTATTATTATTACTACTACTACTACTAGAGTTATCTCGTCTGAAGACCACTTTACATGAGTCGAACATACTCGACCTGCGGCTCTTGTCGGACCTCTTGTGAGAAAGGGCCTTCACAAGTAAGGCATACAGACCTCCTGAAAGTAATACTATTATTATTATTACTATTATTTATACTATTTTTATTAGTATTATTATTACTATTATTATGTTAAATTATCTATTATTTTAACCTTTTAACTGTTATAACAATTGATCAATTTATATTTAATTGTAATTTCCATTTATATTTTGGCCTTTGAAGAAATAGAGGAGTTCTCAAATATATAATAATAATATTAACAACAACAATAATAATAATAATAACAATAATAATATAATACTATTTTTGAGTATTTCCTGATGGCAATATATACATTGAACGGAAGCATCATACACAGAGAGATTACATGCTATGTGATAGTCTGGAATCATTTTGCATTCAAACCCGTCCCTACAACAACAGCAGCAGAGAGCCAGCCAGCCAGACGTCTTAAAGATTGGCACGTGCAAAACATTCCACCGTCCACAACTTACCAACTGTGTGGACGTTGTCGACGAGGAAGCGATGCACGTCGCGCGAGTCGCGTTTGAATTGGCGGTCGTTGAAAGTGAAGAAACGCATGGCTCTGCCTGCTTTCGAAGCC